AGCTATTTTGCTAAATTTGCAAAATTTACTAGCTAATTTTGCTAGCTAGTTTTGCTTCTAACGACCACTGGCTCTGAAGAGGATTGGTGCATCTTAAAAGCCTAATATCCGAAAATTCCCCGATTAATAATATCTCTGGCATAAAAAATACTATATTAAATATTAACAATTTATAGTTTAGCGCGAACGTTAGTGTAACCGTTAAACTGCATTAAATGCCAATTTATTAAATTTAATTAACGTTAGCGTTAGGGATTTACTGAAACTTATTTTCTGCAAGTAATACAAACCCAAAAAGGCAAAATCATTTGATTTATTGGTTTATTGGTTAATTTGCACTACGCTAATAATACTAGGGTTAAGATTGGAGCTAGAGTAAAATGACAGCATATATTAAAAAATTTTGCAAGAATTTTTTTTTATTTGGCGTTAGAACGTGAAAAAGAAAAGCCTTCGAATTTCATGTTACATCCACATTACACTTGATCTTATGATCTAATGATGAAATTTTCTTTGCAAAAATAGGCATACGCCTAAAATCGATCAAAAATACACAAGCTTTTTTGATCTAAAAATGGCGTACATTTATGTACTCCACGCAAGTTTGAATCAAATGCAGACAAACAGCATTAGTTATGTAGATACTACACGAACATTAAAGTGTAACGTTAAACTCAATTTTTTGCTTATAAATCTTTGATGTTATAACAAAAAAAAACTCTTTACATACGTACAAAATTTTGCCCTACCTTACCCTAACACTAACTTAATTCTAATCCAAATGATCATAATTTATATCACGGTGGAATACATAGAATTGTTCGAGACAATCGGCTGTAAGTTTGGTGAATAAATACAAAAAATCAACGACTGATCGCGAAGTATGTATGTACTGTACGTACGTACATACAGTGCGTAAAGTTATCGAATCATTATCGTTACGAATATTTTTTCTAACTGAGCATTTCTCCTTTAACCCTTAGCAATTTTAATATCGTAACGATGGATGTAACGAGGAGGTAATGATTAAATGTGCAGCTATTAAATGATGTCCTAAAAAGGCAATTACCAATTGTTTGTAATAAAAGATGGAAACACATGATCAGCAATTCATTACCGTTGATATTTATCGTTGTATAATATGTATTTGATCGGTTAAAAATTTTTTAAAAAAACTAAGTAACGTAGATCCATTAGAAATTCAAGAACGTTTTCTGGTAATAGATAGCAACTTTTTATTGAAAAAGGCATTGATACTCTTAAAAGTAAGTAAATCGCAAATCGCTCGGAAAAAAACCAATCTTAGAAAACCCAAGAAAATTATTCCAGAAAAAGAATTGTGCACAAAACGCTTTTGATCACAGATATGATGCGATATAAATATTTACATACTTGACAAATAAAGATAAAAAGGAAAGTATAATTAACTTTAATGTAAAACCTGTACAACTAATAGATATTTTCATAATTTTTTATAAAAATCGCCCTCATCTGTAATATGTAATTAAACCAACTATCGAAAATGTCTGATCCTAATTACATTTTTGAACCAAAAAGAAAAGACATAAAAAATGAAGTTCACAAAACTGCCAGTCAAATCCCTCAATATTCTATTGAATATGTAAAATCTCTTTTTCCAATCTTTAGTTGGATCGGTCGTTATAATACCACATGGTTTATCGGTGATTTAATAGCCGGTATAACCATAGGATTGGTGGTCATTCCTCAAAGTATGGCTTATGCAAAGGTCGCGTCATTACCCGTACAATATGGTTTATATTCTTCTTTTATTGGGGTTACTGTATATTGTCTTTTCGCAACTTCAAAAGATATGACTATTGGCCCTACCGCGGTCGTGTCCTTGCTCATGGGGCAAACCTTGTCGACAATTCTTAAAGAGAATAAAGATTATTCAAATACGAGAATCGCTGCAACCTTTAGTCTATTGACTGGACTTATTATTCTTTTAATTGGTTTACTACGTATCGGTTATATTGTTAGAATCGTTTCTAATCCCGTCATTGCCGGCTTCACTACTGGTTCTGCTATTAACATTTCTATAAGCCAGGTAATATTTATTAATTTAATTTATTTTTATTATTTAATTTATTTTTATCTGTATTCTAAAAACTTTATTTTTTTATCATAAAGGTTGCTGGCTTACTGGGTATAACCGGCGTAAATACTAGGGATCCGACATACTTAGTTCTTGGAAACACTCTTGGAAATTTGGGCCATTCAACTATTGATGCTTCTGTTGGATTGACTTGTTTATTATTGTTATATACTATAAAATTTGGGATGTTATACCTCTCTGACCGTTTTCCTAATGCAAAAAGGATTTTCTTCATCACCAGCACTTTACGCAACTTTTTGGTGATAGTTATCTACACTTTAATTGCCTATCTGCTCAATATTGGAAAATCTACAAATCCTCTCAATATCTTAAAAACTGTACCTTCCGGACTCAATGATGTCGGTGCAAGGGAACTCAATAGTGAAATTTTAGGCATTTGCGGCCCGTACCTCCCTGGAATTTGTATAGTTTTAATTCTGGAACACATTGCTATTGCTAAAAGTTTTGGAAGAATTAATGACTACAAAGGTATGTTTTAAATTCTATGGTATAATTTACTTGCTATATAATATTGTATAAATATTCCTGACATTTTTATTTAAAAAAAAAACTAGTTGACGCTAGTCAAGAGTGTATTGCTATTGGTGTCACAAATGTTATAGGCAGTTTTTTTGGCGCATACCCAGCAACCGGTTCTTTTTCTCGTAGTGCTATCAAGGCAAAATCTGGTGTACGAACTCCTTTAGCTGGTATATTTTCCGGTATCTTGGTAATTTTGGCACTTTATGCTTTAACACCTGCATTTTATTATATTCCTAATGCGTCACTGAGGTATGTACTCCCGCGTTGTATACCTATTTAGGCAATACGCTAAATTAAATTGTGGCACTTATCATAAAATGCTTACAATAATAATAAAAAAAAAGATTCGATATTCAGCGAGAAAATAGCATTTTGAATGTATTTAAATGAATTCATAAATTTATTATTGTAATATCATTATTAAAAATTTTTTATTTTTGTGTAGTGCTGTTATTATTCATGCTGTGCTCGATCTGATTGCTCCACCCAGCTATATAAAACAATTATGGGAAATTAATTGTACGGTATTCAAAAAATTTTTTCAATTTTTATTATCACTTTATTTAACGCTAACGAATTTTTAACAATTATTTTTAGTTTGGGATCTTGCTGTTTTCATAGTTGGTTTTATTTTTAATTTCTTTTTCAGTGTCGAAGTATGTATTCATTAAATTATTATTCTATTTTATTTATCATCAAAGTATTAATGTCTGTATATCATAAATATAGATCGGAATTTATGTTTCCGTTGGTTTTTCACTTGTAATAACTCTTTTCCGGCTATCACGTCCACGATTCGAAATTCTTGGTCGCATTGCGGTTGCTTCGTTCAATGGTCTCACCTCCAACAAATATGCTTATGTTCCGTTAAAAGCTCCTTTCGATGACGCTCAAAGCCCACCAAGTGGTATCTTAATCTTCCGACTTGATCGAACGTTTACCTATCTAAATACTGACTATGTTGAAGACAAAATAATCAATTACATAAAAGAAAATACTCGGCGAGTGACTGAGTTGCCTAAAAGTGCAAACGAACTACCATGGAATCAAGCTAGAAACGTTTATGATGAGAAAATTACCCCAAACTCCGAGTTACCATTATTAAAAGCTATAATATTCGATTTTTCGGCTGTTCATATAGTAGACTCGACGGCTGTACAAACTTTAGTAGATGCTAAAAAAGCTATAAAAACATATTCTGGTAGTGATGTTGAATATCACTTCGCGAATATTCATAATGAATCAATACAAAGATCATTGATAATTGCTGGCTTTGGTTCAGCAGATCAGAAAGCTTCTTTGATCGACATTGGAACCAATACCGCAGAAAATAACGATTTAGAAAGTAAATCACAGGAAACTAAAATATCCTCGGAAATTAAAAAATCCGAAGAAATTTCAGAAGTTGTGGTTGATAATAGTGATACAACCACTATTTCAAAAAGAAATAAATTCTTCCACATAAATTTGGAAGAAGCTGTAATAGCTGCTACTAACGGAACTTGGTGAATAGCTTTAAAAAAAAAGAAAAAAAAAAAGTTAATTTTTTTAATATTTTTAAAGACATCTAAAAAGTTATTTTTTAAAAAAAAATTAATATGCGTATGCAATATTTAACGTACTTATTTGTATTTATATTAAGACAAATCTAATAATAAATAACGTTTTTTAAATTTATATAGTTACATTAGATTTTCGATTTTAATTGGCTGTCTTTATTTCAATGATTTTTCTTTGAGCAAAGATATTTGATAATTATCTAATTAGAGTTTGAACAATTCGAATCACCGATTGATAGGCTTATTAAATTTTTTTCTCGACTTTTTTTCTCATTTATTTTTTTTATTTACGTAATAATTTTTTTTTTTTCATTTATTAATTTTTTTATTTTATTAATTTCTTTTATTTTTTTTTAAATTATTTTTTTTTATTGTAAGAATTCTAACCATGCCAAATTGGCCTGCTCCTGATCCTGAAATTCAACACTTCCTTCGTGTGCTTCCAAATCAATATAGTGGTCATCCTTTAGGCCCTCTTTGGCAAGCATTTGATCCTATTAAAATCGATAAAAGAAATAAAGCTATTTGTATTTTTTGCAATAATAATCCTATATCTGGAACTGCTGCTGTAATGGGTGCACATATCAAGAAATGTACAAAAATTCCCTTAAATGTTCAAGCTTATCTTATCAATGCACAAGAATTTCAGAATCAGCAAAATAATACACAAAAAAATTTGGAACTTTCACAATCATTATCAAATATGTCAATAGACTCTTCTGTTTCAATTATATCATCAAGTCAAGATTTGACAATTGCAATGTCAAATAATAGTCAATTATTATTAGATTCGCATAAATCTAATCAATTATTATTAGAAAAAATGATTGAAGGTGGAGCACCTCTTTCTTTAGTTGATGCACAAAAATTTAAAGAATTTGTTTATTTAATAAATTCTTAGTATTCCTTGCCAGCAAGAAAATAGCTTTCAAATTGTATTCTAGATAATGTATATGACAATACTCATTTATCAATTTAACAGTTTATCCAAAAATCTGATTGGATTACTATAGCAACAGATGGCTGGACAAATATCTGCCAAGATTATCTTATAAATTATATCACAATTGGAAAAAATCGAAAATTAGAACTTATTAAAGTAAAAGATACTCATGGAGAAAGTCAAACATCAGCAACAATTCTTCAAGATTTAATGGAAGTTATTACAAAACTTGGAATTAAAAAAATTAATGCAATTATTACAGATGGAGCAGCCAATTATATTCGAATAAAAACAATATTAGTATAACAATATCCAAAAATTTTGGTATTACCATGTGTGGCTCATGAATCAAATCTTTTGGTTAGTGATATGCTAAAGCACATGTATATGAAATTTACTATAACTTCAGTATTAAAAATTATTACTTATTTTCAAAAAAGTACACAAGCTCTTCAATTTATTTGAGATCATGCTTGTGATAATACTTTTTGATTTTCTCTTCCAACATTTACCTGATAGAATTTATATTTTATATCATTAAAACAAATTCAAAACAAATCTCAATTTTTGAAAGAATTTGTATATGAAAAAAAATTTCCAAGCAATAGTAAAATCATATCTATTTTGAAAAATGATATATTTTGGAATCAATTAGAAATAATTATCCAAATTCTGGAATTATATTCTCTTGTACTAATAATTTTGAAATCTCAATATACAACAATCGCAGATGCTGTTTACTTATAATGTCAAATGTGAAAAATTGCTTATACAATTTATGATGATTTTTAAAATTATATTACAGAATGAATTAAACATCATTGGCAAAAAATTTATAACCCAGTGTTTTTAATTAGCTAGTTATTGCATCTAAAATATTTTTTAGCAAAAGTTATTTGTCCAAAATTTTTAACTTATGTTAAAAAAGAAGTCAGTACTTTATTTAGTCAACTATTTCCAAATAATAATATTTTAAAGTTTCGAATACAACTTATTGACTGGAATAACAAAGCTTATTCATTTAATTTTGAAGGAAATTGGAATGATTATCTAATCAAGGATTCTGTTTATTTTTGAAATAATTTTATCAATGAAGTTTCAGAATTAGCAATATTTGCAGCGTGGCTTATATCAATACCACCTATATCTGCTGATAGTAAGAGATTTTGGTTATTAATAGCAGGTATTCATACTTTAAAATGCAACAGATTAACAAATAAGTGGGCAACAAAACTTTCATATATTCGATTGCATATTTCTCAAAATAAAAATATTCTAAGCTATATTAAAAAAAATATTAATCAATTTCAACAAATAGATAAAACTAATACTAGTAATGATTTAGACACAAACTACAATTTGGAAACAGATTTTACTAAAGATGAATTTTATACTCTTCAGCATTTAGAACAACAATTGGAAAATTCTGAAGAAACTCTAATGACAATAATTAAAAATTTTGATGAATATAGTACTTATAATTAGGTTTCTTACAGTCAAATTATTGAAAAAAATAGTAATTGGGCTTTGAATCATAATGAATATAGTATAGCATTGGAAGATTTGTTTCTTCTAGAAAAATTAGATAACATTTCTATTGATTTTTAAAATTATTTTTTCTATAAATTTTTTTGAGCAATTGTTTTTTTTTTGATTAATTGTATGTTTTGCAATTGTTTTTAAGCGATTGTTTTTTTTTTGACTGTCTTTTTTAAGCAATTATTTTTTTTAAAGTGATTGTTTTTTTTTAACAAATTGTAAACAAATTATTTTTTTGCATAAATTTTTTGAATAAAATTACATTATAGTTATTGCTAAGTTATTATTACTTAATTTAAATAGTATTTAATAATATTAAGTAATAGTATGTAATCAATTTAGCCTATCTCTACTGAATAGTGAGTAAGTTCTGTAACAAAATTTTTTAATAATAATTCTAATACAAACTAACTCAACCAAATACTGTTACCAGAATAGCAAGTTCTGTAATAGAATTTTTTACAGTAATTCATGATAAAAATCATGATAATTTCAATACAAACTAAGGAAAGTGTCATTTATTATCTGATTTTTTTAGCAAGGAGTGGCTGTCAAAATATCAAGCTAATAGATTGCATGTATGTATCATGCCATGCCTCAGGTTTCAGATGTCAATCGGCCTAAGTTAAAATAGGGTTAGGGTAAGAATCTGGAAAGGATTTGGGCTTAATTTAGATCAATCAATGTCAATCAGCTAATGCAGGCCAAAAGGTCGACATCTAATGCAGAGGCATATATGTTTATATATAATTGTAATCATTTGAGAGGGAAAATTTTACTACAGTGCAGGCATCCTTAAATCAATATATAAAACTCATAATTTTTAAAAGCTTATAAATAAAAAACTAAAGTAGGTATTAACAAAATCTCTTCGTAAAATAATAAAATCAAACACAAAAAATAAAGTTACAAAGTTTATTTTTTTAGTTAATTATAATTTTATTTGGTTGAATTGTTTTAAAGTTAGTATAGAAATCAAAATTTGGCCACATATATATAAAAACATAATAAAATTTCAAAAAATATAATAAAATTTTAAAAAAAACAAAATAAAATTTTAAAGTATTAGCCAATTAGAAGTTAGTATTCTGTCTCAAATTTGGCTACTTTAATAAAAGTTGTTGGTTTAAAGATGCCCACACTGTATTTACAAAAAATTAGCTAATAAATAACACTTTCTTAACTTAACCACATATTGTGGCCACTAGAATAGCAAGCTCTGTAACAGAATTCTTTATAGTAACTTATAATAAAAATTACAATAATTCCAATACAAACTAACCAATCTATATATAGTATAAGTCATAATAATTTCAATACAAGCTAACTCAACCTTAATTATATACTATTATTATTAAAATAGCAAGTAATTATTTTAAAATAATATACACAATATAGTTAACCTTGTTCTGCTATAGCAAACTTTGTATATACTAAGTTTAAAATTTGGTATACAATATATACTAAATTTTAACTTTGAATTTTTCTTTCTGGGTGTGATAGTAGCAAAGTTGTTGCACTCTCAAGCTAGCTTGATTATAGTATTGAGTTTGAATCTTACTAGTGATATTTCAGATAAAATATTTGTATTATAGTAACAAATCTTTTAAATTAAGTTGAGTTATATATCTATAAACTTAGACTATACCAATACTCTTGAGCACTAGAAAATTCTGGAAGAATTCATATTGTTATACAAAAAAATACAAACTAGTATCCCTTAATTGGTAAAGATTTATAGGCAAATTTGCCTGTATAATTACTATAAATATGTTTCTGATCTACTTTTTTAATTATTTAAAATATTTAAATAAAATTTAATATAATAATAT